GGAGAGAGAGAGAGAGAGAGAGAACTAGGACCAAAGCAAGACCAAAACTCACCAGCAAATATTAAATTCCATACATCCATGTCCAACCCCTGAAGCAGATGGTAGAGATGTGAACTCCTAAGGGGTTGCGTGACCTTCCCTGACATTGCAAGTTGCAGATTCCATAGCTCTTAAGACTTATACCTTGATGTCTCTCAAGAGCCCTATGCTCATAGGTGGGATTTTGGAAGGAGATTGGATTATGGGAGTTTAGACTGACTTGCTTAGGATGTGGGTTCTGGTTGGGAGAGGTAGGCCCTTGAACATGGCCTACAATGGTTTATTTCTTTCCTGCTCTTCTCTCTTCTTCTCCTCTCCCTCTCCCTTCCTCCCCACATCCCTGCCTGCTTCTTCCCTCTCTTTCCCATCTTCCATGCTATGAGCAGCTCTCCATTCTGTCCTGCCTTGGAGCTATCAGACTACGGACGGAAACCTCTACAACTATGAGTCAAAATAAATCTTTCCTTCTTTAAGTTGTGAGTATTGGGTATTGGAGCCCAGTGATAAGAAAATGGACTAAAACAATGGCCTTGTTCTTGGGCTGTGTATCAGTTATTTTCTCATTGCTGAGATGCAATACTTCACAATTCAACTTAAAGGAGGAGAGGCTTATCTTGGCTCATGCTTCAGTCCATAGTCAGCTTGTTCCATGGCAGAGGTACCTGGGAAGGAGAGGAGCTCATGTCATGATGGATGAATCAGAGAATGAAGAGAAGCCAGGGGGCACAATAAACCCTTCCAGGCCACACCCCCAGTGGTCTTCTTATTCCGACTATGCCCACCTCCTAAATATTTAGCTATAAACTTATCAGACGACTAACCCACCAATAAGTATAACACTCCCATGATCAAATCACTTTTCAAAAGTCCCACCTATGAAATCATGAGGTTTTGAAAGAACATCTAGATATAAACTATAATATGCCTCCTCTGGTGCCCAAAAAGATTTGTGGGCATTTCTTCTTGAAAAATGTATTTAATCCACTAATAAGAGTGGGCAATGTCCCAAGAATTCCAGCATTGCTGAAAAGACCAAGTCTAAAGTTTCTTCTGAGACTTAAGGCAAACACTTAGCCATGAGCTGTATAATTTTTTTTTAAGTTTAAAAGCTTCCGGCATACAGTGGCACAGGATAACATTCACATTCCAAAAGGCAGCGAAGGGAAATAGTAACTGATGACCAAACAAGACCGAAACCCAGCAGAGCAAACACTTAGTCCTGTAGCACCACACCCACCATCTGGGGCAAGCTGGGGCAAGGTGTAAACCCCAAATGGTTTGGGTTGTTCTGCCCCTACAACATTACTGGTGGCTACCACTCTCAGGGCTTCTTTCTCAGCCTGAATGTGCTCACTCTTTGTGGTTTTCATCAGACATTCCACATTCCTGTTTTCCCCTTCTGGGATCCCCACTGCACTTTCAGCTTCACCCCCACAGCTCACACACTGCCTTCTAAGGGCCACACTCACTGGTCTCATAGCCCCCCTTCTGAAATCTAGGTGAAAACCTCCATCACCCCACAACTATGGCATTCTTCATATCTGTGAAACCAGCCCTACGTGGATAATGCTGAAGTCTGCCCCAGGCTCAGTCAGTAGCCAGAGACATTGGCTCATGGCTGCAGAAGCCTCTGAGTGTCCAAATGACTGAACATTAAGAACGTAATCCTGGAAAACAAATTCTCTAGGGGGCATTTTTGAGTACAGTGCTCTGTTTCTCTCTTTTCAAAAACAGTTTTTCAGGGCTGGCCAAATAATTCAGTGGATTAAGGGGTTCAATCCCCAGGGCCTGTTGTGCCACCCCTGGGGCATGTTGAGATGGCAATTGAGAGTAGGATTGGTGGTGTGCGCCTGTAATCCCATCTGTTGGGAGGCTGTAAACAGGTGGATCACTATGAATCTGATCTACTAGTAAGACCCTGAGCACCCTCTAGACCCTTCCCTAAATATACAAAAAAAAAAAAAAGAAGGAAAGAAAAAAAAGAAAAGAAAGAAAGAAAAAGAAAAAAGAAAGAAAAATTAAAAGAAAGTTTTTAATTTTTGCAATTCTAACCTGAGAGTTTGAGGGCTTGCCTGACATTCTCTTAACCCACTTTTCCAACTGTTTTAATCCAAAGGACTTTGATTCTTTGTAATCCTTAATGCAACAAAGGCCTCCTATACCCCAGCTTTATAGGACCTAACTTTACAGTAGCTTCCTTTCTGGTGAAACTCAAAACCTACAATATCAATTAACTGTGTTTTTGCTCCTGATTCTGAATGGACAGCTGGAGTACTCATACCACAGCCTGAAAGTTGGGCAACTTTGAAATTTCCTCTGCCAGTTTTATTAGCCCAATGTGCTTCATCCCAATCTCTCACTAAGTCTTAGGACATGAGTAAAATATTTATAAATTTAAGTAAGCCCAGCACTTGGGAGGCTGAGACAGAAGGGTCATTGTAAGTTCAAGGCTAGCTTAGACAACAAAGTGAGCTCAAGTCACGCCGCAACTGCATAGTGAGACCCTTCTAAAAAAAAAAAAAAAAAAAAAAAAAAAAAGACAAAAAAAAGGTAAATTTTTTTGTAGAATGTTACACACATGACCTTGAGTCAAACTGCCAGTAGAGTCCTTGTTCCCAACTGAAGGGGCTGGGGAGATGGCTCAGTGGAATAAGTGCTTCCCTGGAAAGAGTTCCAACTGAAATGCCCTTAGCTGACCTTTTTTGTCTATATTTCTTTTTCCTTTTTTTTTTTTTTGTCTCTATTTCTAACAGTATTCTGGTCTTTTGAGCTCTGACCGGAGTCTCCCATCAAGCTTAGCTCAGAGCATTCTAGGCCTTCTTTAACTGGCATCTCTAAACATTTCCATACTTCTCCTATGAACTACTTTCAAAGGCTCCTGAACCACGTGGTTATGTAGTCACAGTAATGACCCCACTTATGGTACCAAGATCTGTCTTACTTGTTTTTCTCATTGCTGGGACCACTACCTGATACTCACAACTTAAAGCTGGAAAAGTCATTTTGGTTCATGTTTTTCATCCATGGTTAACTGTTTCCAAAGCATAAGTGGCGTGGCAGAGGGGCAAGGTAGGTGAGAAGTTCCTCATGTCATGGCAGCCAGGAAGCAGAAAATGAAATAAGGAGCCAGGAAGGGAGCTACTTCCTTCCAGGTCACATCCCCTGTGACCTGCCTTTTCCAACCAGACTCCATCTTCTAACAGCAAGTCAACTGTATCACTCCAATGATTTGATCACCTCCCCTGTGTTCCTGGAGCCTTTGTGGGACTTTTTTTTAAGAGTAGGGAGAATCTATTGTCCTTCTTCTATCTAAGAAGGACAGAGGAGGGTCACAAGTGGGTGGCCCACTGACTCCACCTCTCAAGAGTATTTCATTGAGCAAAGCAACAAGGTGAGGCAGGTTCAAGGTGGGACAGAACTGTAGTCAACTAATAAGATTACAAGAGTAGTCGCTGAGGTAATAGTAATCCAGTGGGAAATCACAACATGAAAGTAAAATAGAACAAAACTATGGTAAAGCAATTAAGATTACAGCAATTATAGTTGCCTAGGTGATCCTGATTAAACAAAGATCAAATGGGGGAGGCGAGTCACATAGCAAGGGTATGTAAAGCAAACAAGGATATTCTGGGAAAGATTGGGCTAAGGAGGTCTTGGTTCCCCACTAAAAGTGATTGATGCCTATTTAGAATATTAATCACTGCTGTTCATCCCTAGGGAGAGTGTGTGGGTGTTGTCATTCCTCTTTTTCTTGAAGACTGGACTTCAGTGAATGTGCCTCTGGCCACAGTTGTCTTCTGACTGAGGGTCCAGTACTGCCTAACTGCCTATAATATTTACAACTGACTTAGCAGTCTACAATATTCCCTGCTCTGAAGAGTTATCTCTAACTGCAGTTAAGGGAAAGGGGATAGAGTTTTCATCTAGCTGCTTTGAGCTGAGAAAGGTTAATGTAGGAAAGGCCATAGCCGGGGTCTTTTCCATAGCAATAATCTAATAGGTCTCAGGTAGAAGTCATGTTGTAGTGTGGCAGTTATAAGCTGTCTTTACAAGGTCGGTCTGGTAGATCCCAGTAAAGGAATCTAGCACATTTGTTGTTGGTTCCATCTGCATGAGCACTAGGAGTTTAGCAGCCTCTACGCAAGAATAAACAGATTTTCTGAGAAATTGGAGCATGTATAATCAAAGCATGAGCTCTAGAATGGACAAGTATATTGTTGAAAGAGTTAAGGTTAGAAGCTGGTTTTTCTTTTTTTAAATGTATTTAGTACAGGGTCTACAGGGTCTCACTATGTAGACTGGATTTGTAGTGATCCTCCTGTTTTCAGCCTCCCAAGTGTTAGGATTATAGGCATGCGCCACCACGTCCAGTCTCAATTGATGTCTCAGTGTGGCCTGGGGGTGGGGCTGGCCCAGCACACCCGGGATGGGACCTGGTCCCTGAACCTGTGTAAGCAGGTGCGTCAGTCTGCTGAGCTATCTGGCTGGCCCTAGAAGGATCTTAAGGGACTGAAATAGGGATTGTAACCCACTGGCTGTTAGATCCCACTAATGATGGAGTTGATATTTTATTGTAAGCCTCTCCAGTTTTAGCTGTAAGAAGATGGAGAGTGTGGTGATTTTGAAGGACAATTTTAGCTAAGAATTGAAAAATTCTTGTTGAGTTTATATAGAATCTACTGTAGTTTTTTCTTAATGTCCCATAAAAGTGTAATCAGCCAGAAGAGGTCAGAGATTGGAGCATTTTTCTATATCTAGCTTAGTAGTATGACATTGTTTTTTTTTTTTTTA